TGGCTGGGGAATTCTGGGAGTTGAAGTCCACTCATCTTGAAGTTGCCAAGGTTGAGAAACACTGCCGTAGATGCACTGAAAATATGGAAATAGGGACAAAAGAGTTTTTTTGGCCAATCTATGTTTCTGGGAGATGGGTCATCTTAAATTTAGAGTAGCTTCCTTTTGGGTTAATTTGGTAATTAATCTTAAACTGGGATCAACAAGAAGTAATAAAAACAGCTGAACTATTAAGAGATGTTTCATGTGAAGAAGTAGGTCTCTGGAAATGTTTAATAGCGCTTTGCCTGCAGAAGAGAGGCTAAGCTACAATTCTGTTTTTATCATTTCCCAAATTGAAATATTGGGCATAGGAAGCAGAAAAAATATGGAAATTGGTTGTTTGCCAGTAACAAGATCTGATCGTTCTGTAAAAGATGAATGATTCTAGAGGCAGAGAAAAAAAGCTAGTACAGAATCCTAACCAAGTACTTTGACAACGATTAGCTTGTTCTCTCTCTACAGTATTCCTATGCACAATTACTTTGGAGTAGGCCATGTTGAATACAAAAGTGTTTGCATCAGAGTTAATATGGCAAGGATTCTAATTTTACAGGGAGAGATTACCTTGTGCCTTCCTGAAGCTTTGGACTAAAGTTCCCACTATCTCTTACCATTAACTTAATGGTTGAGGGTGATGGTGTTACAGTCCAAAACATGTGGAAGCCATGCATTTTTATGTTTTTGGAAGTTTAAAGGTTCATAGTCACATGTTCTTATTCCCCCCCCACCCCCTTATTAGAAAAAGGAGCTGTCCCACACTCAGGGATTATTAAAACTACACCCCGCATCATTTAGTTGGTTTTACTGTAGGAAGAGAAATAAAGAAAATGGATATTTAATATATACTAGAATGAAACTTGTCACCTCCATTACAAGGAGGAGGAAAAGGCTATTACTTTTAACTAATGAAAAACAGCAATTATAGCGCTGTCATGTCTGAGCTGCAAAAATCTTACTAGATGGCTACAAAGAGTAGGAGTAGCTTTAAGTTATGAGCTGAATTATGAAATACTCCTCACAGAATAAATAATCACTGCAAAGTCCTTTTGTCTTTGCTGTTAAAGAGAACTCCTTGCCAAGGCATTTCTCTTTAACATTTGTTCTAAATATTTTGCTTTAGCTGAGGAAGGAAATTAAATATAATAATTATATGAGTAGTTTAGATTTATGTTTGCACTCATATTCTATTTTTTAAATTGTTTTTTCAGTTGTGTCTATTAATTGTTTTATTCCACTGTTAGCTGCTTTGGGAAGAAAATCTGGATACAAATCTTGTAAAGAAATACTTCTGCCGGCTGTCACTTAAAAATAACCACAGAAAATGCTTTCATGCAATTCTTTGAAATTTAATTCTTTTTTAGTGAAGTCACAGATTACAGGGTAAGACTGTAGTGAGAGACTTGTTGATGAAGAAATATAAATGGCTGCTGTTAATTGGGAAACGCTCCTAAAGCTACAAAAATGTAACAAGTAATCAGTTATCTAACAGCATCAAAGTAAACAAAGCGGAAATGGACTTTCTCTAATTCCTTAGCTTTGCTAGCTCTGATAGTGGCACTTATGTTAGTTTTCTTCAACCTGGTGATCTCCAAATATGTTGAATTTTGATTCCTATAATTTTCAGCTATCATTGGGTTGGAGACATATGGAAGAAGTAATTTGGTGGGCACCAAGTTGGCAAAAGATGATTTATATGTTTCTCACACATAGCTAAGAGACAGGCTTTCCAGACTGGTTCAGAGATCCTGTTTAAACATAATCAAAATTCAACATATTTGGAGATCACCAGGTTAATCAAAATTCAACATATTTGGAGATCACCAGGTTTATGTTTCTCACACATAGCTAAGAGACAGGCTTTCCAGACTGGTTCAGAGATCCTGTTTAAACATATACAAATGTCCAACATTATTTTTATCCAGAAGGCTGCACTTTACTAGTGCAGCATCTGAGCAAAAGCAAGAAGCTGAAGATAAATCAGGAGGAGGACCAGTGTGACAATTAGCACAGGAGACACTTACTGGATATCCTGTAGTTCTGGTTTTTCAAAGGACAGACCAGATATCAGGGAATGTCTTGCTCTGTAACTTTTAGCCTGTTCTCTCTCCTCCTCTCTTTTAAATTAAAATACAGAGGAAATGTATTCCTTCATGGTAGTGAATGGGCAGGATATCTCCCTCAAATGTTTCAGAAAGAAGTTAATTAATTATGACTGATTAAATTACTATCCCACTTCCTAACCAACACCATGGCCCCAGCTGAGGCTCAGAGTCATACGACAGAGAAAATAACCAACAATTACAGTAAGAACCATTTAAAAACAGTAATAGAAATGGGAAGCAACTGGGTTAAAGGAACTGTTTACAAAATGGCAGAGCACTGCTGTGAGGAAGTGAGGGGTTGCTGGTAGTCACGGTATTTTTGTTTTCTTGTGTTCTTTACTTTTAAAATGTTTTGCGAATCTTTAAGAATTACTTGGCCATTGCCCAGAAAAGGAGATTAAATTATAAGAGGATGACTTCCACAAGGCCACCAGCACTGTCTAGTTGGTGTATTATGATATATAATCATGTTTCAGACATACTCCAAATGACTAGCGTGGGAAAGAATGGCATGATCCCAGAAACGATAAACTGTGGTTGGACTACTTGGCAAATTCAATATTCAATGTTGTGGAAGCTGAACTGCTTTTTGGAGGGTACATAACTCTGTAACTCTATTGTAGGCTGGTGGGCACAACTCATTTAATTGTACCCTAAGCTTCCCATACGTTTCAGTAAGATTCTCTTTCCAACCACAGACTCTTCATGGAGCAGAAGGTATCAGGGAAAAGGCTGGCCAGCTATGGTGGGAAGCTTGACTCGTGGAGGCATATCGGACAGGAAAGGTTTAATCCAGAGAATATATCTTCCAAGTAGGCCTGATTCATCTCTGTCCTTGCATGTAGACATCAGCTCCTCTGCAACTCTGGATCCTTACTCAGTTGAAAGTCCTATTTCTCACTTGTTCAAGTGTCATATCAAAATTCCACACTATCCAGCAGTGCATCTATCACAAAGCATGCATATTAAGGCAAAATAAGCACATTTGTATAAGACCTCTTCTGGTTGCAATTACAAAAATCTAAACTGAGTTTCTGAAGTCCTCCTTTCCCAGTGCAAAATTCTTCATGCAGTCGACTTGCTTCTCCATACTGGTTTTCTTACTTTTTTTTTTTAATTTGTGAGATGGAGAATTTTGGTGGTGCTTGGCAGATAGGTTTGGGGCCCAACCTTCTAAGGTGGGCACTTATAAGGTCTCACAAGCATCATGTGAGTTTTCTGATGTGTGCTAAGGCCAGACCTTTGTCGGAAACTCTTCCCACATTCCATGCAGCGGAATGGTTTCTCTCCTGTGTGAATCCTCTGGTGGATGGTAAGGTGCGAGTTGACGCTGAAGGTCTTGCCGCATTCATCGCACTTATAAGGCCTCTCCCCTGTGTGGATCCTCTGGTGAAGAATGAGGGTAGAGCTCTGGCTGAACCTTTTCCCACACACCTGGCATTCATATGGTTTCTCTCCCGTGTGGGTTCGCTGGTGTTTGGTCAGGTGGGAGCTGACGGAAAAGCTCTTCCCACAATCCGTGCATTTGTATGGCTTCTCTCCCGTATGGATGCGGCGGTGGAGGACAAGGGTGGAACTCTGACTGAACCTTTTCCCACAGTCGCTGCACTCGTAGGGCTTCTCGCCAGTGTGGGTCCTCCGGTGAATTGTGAGGTGGGAACTGACGCCAAAGCTTTTCCCACAGTCAGAGCAGGGGTAGAGCTTATCAGCAGACAGCAAAGGCCGCTTAGGCTGGGCAAGGGTGTGCTGAGTCTGGGCAAGGCTCTCTCCACACTGGACACACAGGCTGGGGCCGGGCCCCATGTAAATTCCACGGGGTGGGATGGTGGGGTTGTCTTTTGTCACTGGAGGAAGAAGAGGTGGCTTGACCCATCCTTTTCCTGCCTCTTCACTCTGCTGTCCAGCTGGAGGCTGCCCCGCGTAAGTGGGGCCTTCAGATCGCCCTTGGACTTGCTTCTGCACACCCTCAGAACCACCAGGCTGGGAATTTGGATTCATGGTTCCTCCATCTGCCAAAGGAAAGAGAGTGAAGCCAGCAGTGGTGGGGGGGAAGTTATATCCATTCATTCTATGTTATTCTAAGAAATTAATGGATACTTTACCAGACTGCTGGTTTGTTTTTTAGTTGC